CAGGCGAAACGGGCCGGACCACCTCGCGCAAGGCATCTCAGAGCTCAGAGTTTCGAGGATGTCTCAGGCGAAACGGCCCGGACCACCTCTCGCACGGCACCTCGGGGCTCAGAGTTTCGAGGATGTCTCAAGCGAAACGGCCCGGACCACCTCTCGCGCGGCGTCCCGGAGCGCAACTTTTCGAGGATGTCTCAGGCGAAACGGCCAATCCCGGCCAACTCAGAAACGAGAGTTGTGAGGATGTCTCAAGCGAAACGGCCCGGACCATCAAATTTTTGTGAGGATGTCTCTGCTCCGATTTCCCTCGGCCGGAGTTAGCTTCTATCACAACAGCACCCCGGTCAGCAAGCTGTTTGGGGAAAAAGAGAAAATAGATTCTCGCCCCCCCTCCCCCCAGGATTATCGGTCCCGCTTTCCGTATTGCAATTTACATACGGTTGTGCCCCATTGTCCATCCGAAATATGCGAAATATGAATCTACAGCATCCCAGCCCAACCGGTATCGACCCCCCCCCCCCCGCAATCCTTTTTGCAAAAAGTATTACGCACGCGCACTCGTTTATCAAGAACCATAAGTTGTCAAGAATCCATTGCCCAAAACGAGACGAAGTGCAAACGCGCGCGTCGTCGCGCGCGCATGCCGAAATTCTTCAAAAACCGATGATGTCGTAAGGATTTTTATAATCGAGTGTCCAGAAAACATATCAACACACATGGTTTCGCAACACTGTAATTCAAACAAAAAATTCGGGCGCGCGCCCTTTACGAATTCTGGGGAAAAAACCATAGGTTTTTCAACAGTTTCTTTAAATGCTACCAAAAGGGCTTCGCGCGCGCATGTAGACATCATTCGAACGCGTTTGCGCGCGTGCCGTCGCGAGAATCCGTTGCAAAAAACGAGACGAAGTGCATGCGCGCGCGTCGTCGCGCGCACATGCCAAAATGCTTCAAGAACCTTCTCTTTCGTAAGGGTTTCAAAAGCGAGTGTCCAAAAACATAGTCAAACAAAAACACATGGTTTTGCAACATCATTTTCAAAACAGCTGCGCTCGCGCTTTTGCGAATTCCCAGGGAAGCCACGAGTTGTTTAACATGTTCGTTGAATTCTGCCAAACGAGCCACTCGCGCCGCACGTCGAAATCATTCGAACGCCCTTGCGCGCGTGCTGGGGGGTAACGGTCCGCGTCAAATAATGCTATGCGGGCCACTCTCGCGCGTCGGCCGCGTGCGCACGTCGAACTCCTTCCAAAACCTTCATCGCTGGCGCGAGGACGCCGTCATCGTCGCCGGCGTGATCAGCATCGGCGCCGTCACTGGCCGTGCCGTCGCCGCCGTCATCATCGCCACCAACACCGCTACAATCATCATCGTGCCTATCGTCGTCGACGTTGCCATGATACCGCGCCCGCCCATGCCGCCGACTCGCAGTTAAATGCCCGCTGGGATGTGCCCAGCGGTCAGCGCCACCGCGGCCGCGTCGGTCGCGTCAAACTAGCTGGCCGCTGCGCGCGCGAGCGTGCGCGGGCTGGCGCGGCCGCAGAGATGCACCAGCCAACACCGTGCACTCGTCGCAATCGCCGCCGCATGGGTTTTGCAACCAGGTTTCGGGTGGGCGGGTGGGATGCTTGCGCGAGCAGCGGCGTTGACAACTTCAAGTTCGGCAAGGTGAATTGCACCACCTAGATTGCACCACGTTGATCAGGAGGGGAAAAGACACACAGACACAATTTGCCGTCGATCCCCGGGAAATTTGGAAAAACATTGGACGTGGGGGGGAAGACAAAAAAAACACAAAAGATGGGGAAATCCTGGCGTGCGTCCTAAGGCCCGCTCAATGGAGTGCACCACCCAGATTGCACCGCGTAGGCTGCAAGACACCACGGCTCGGGGCCCACGCCCGCTGACGTGTGCTGCCCGTGTTCGGGCATGTCTTGGGTCGCTTCGTCGCCGCAGCCAGACCCGCCGCGAAATCCAAGACGGAACGCGTCACGGGACTGGTCCAGTGGCCAGTCACGGACACGGCTCTTGAGGGAGAGGGGTCCCCCCTTTCCTCCTCTTCCTCCTCCTCCTCCTCCTCCTCCTCCTTCTCATCCTGCCGGCCCCGTGCGATTCCGACTCCGTGCCGACGCAGCCAGATCAGAAGCACGGCCTGATTCGATCCGATCCGACGATGCGATGCTGGTCGATTCCCAGAATTTATCAGCATCGGAGCGGGGAGCTTCAAGTGGTTTCAACGCCGAACACGTCAATCGAGGATGCATCGCCCATGCATTGCCCATAGAGACGCCATTGCCGGGACCCTGCGCCCGACCCCCATTTTCACCCTTCAATTCTGGGGTGACGCCAGGGAGGACGGACGCCAGGGAACACCGCCGCTGTCTCGACCAGCCCTCCTGCGAGTCCAGACCGCTGGCGAGCCACGCTGCGGAGGCGAGCAGAACAGAGACGACGCCGGATGCCCATGGGGGAGGAGGAGGAGGAGGAGGAGGAGGAGGAGGAGGAGGAGGAGGAGGAGGAGGAGGAGGAGGAGGAGGAGGAGGAGGAGGAGAGAGGGGGGAAAGGCACGGTGGATGCGCGCGTCCCGGCTCACGCCAGAAGCCTGCTTGAGACAGGAACAGGCAAAGCACGGCGGTCGGGCGGCAAAGTCATGATCAGAAGAAGGAGGAGGAGGAGGAGGAGTAGGAGGAGGAGGGGGAGGAGGAGGAGGAGGAGGAGGAGGAGGGGAAGGAGGAGGAGGAGGAGGAAGAGGAGGAGAAAAAGGAAGAGGAGGGAGATGATGAGGAGGAGGAGGAGCAGGATGAGGAGGAGGAGGAGGAGGAGGAGGAGGAGGACCAGTGTAAACCCAAGGGTCACCAACGATGTTGGAATTAACCCTCCCTCCAAGCTCCCTCCTCACAGGCCCCCACAACGGTTCACTTCCATTGAGGGAACTGCCTCGTTGGAAGAGAACCGTTTGAAGATCCTGAAGCATGCTCAAACATTGTTTTCGGGATGCCAACGCCACGTATCAAACTGACTGCTGCGTCTTGACGATCCGGAATCGCGCCAGAGCGCCATGTTTGGTTTGTCAATTTCGCGGATCAACAGAACTGCTGCACCCGTATAATGCTGAATCCGTCGAAAACGCAATTTCTGGTACGCCGATCACGGGAATCTGCAAAAATCGCAAATTTTGAAAACGAATACGCGCGGCGCTGAGGCGAGAGCCACATGTTGAAAAGGAACCGTTCGCGTTCCGCGAAACTTTTGAAAATGTTTGAAGCGGATGTGCGCGGCGCTAAGGCGAGAGCCACATTTTGAAAGTGACCCACCCTCAATCCGCAAAACTCTTGCAAATGTTTAGAAACGAATGTGCGCGGCACTCAGGCGAGAGCCACATTTTGAAAACGACCCGCCCTCAATCCGTGAAGCTCTTGCAAATGTTTACAACGAATGTGCGCGGCACTAGGGCGAGGGCCACATTTTGAAAATGACCCGCCCCCAATCCGTACAATTTTCGCAAATCTTTAAAACGAATGTGCGCGGCACTAAGGCGAGAGCCACATGTTGAAAATGATCCGCCCCCAATCCGTGAAGCTCCTGCACATTTGTTAAACGAATGTGCGCGGCGCTAAAGCGAGAGCCACGTTTTGAAAATGACCCGCCCCCAATCCGTGAAGTTCTTGCAAATTTGTTAAGCGAGTGTGCGCGGCGCCAAGGCGAGAGCCACATGTTGAAAAGGAACCGCCCTCAATGCGTGAAGCTCTTGCAATGTTTTAGACGAATTTGCGCGGCGCTAAGGCGAGAGCCACATGTCGAAAACCACCCGCCCTCACTCCGTGAAACTCTTGCAACTTTTAAAAACGGATGTGCGCGGCGTTGAAGCAAGAGCCACGTTTTGAAAACGACCCGCCCTCCATCTGCGAAATTGTTGCACTTGCTAAGCTTCAGAGCCATAAATGGTGAGGAAGTCTCAGGCGAAACGCCCGACCCGCCCTAAAAACTGGCCTCGGGGTGCGACTGGGAGAAGTTATCTATAAGGAGAAGTAATAGGAGGCGGGCCAGGAGAAGGAATTGGAGGAGGAGGACGGGGTGAGGTAAGAAGAGGAGGACGAAGAGGAGGAGGAGGAGGAGGAGGAGAAGGAGGAGGAGGAGGAGGAGGAGGAGGGACGAGAACGAGAATGAGAACGCACACGAGGGGGAGGAGGGGGAGGAGGAGGGGGAGGGGGAGGGAAAGAGGGAAGTGGGGAAAAGGGAGAGAAAAAAGGGGAGGAGGAGGGGGAGGGAGAGGACGACGAGGAGGAGGAGGAGGAGGAGGAGGAAGAAGAAGAAGAAGAAGAGGAGGAGGAATAGGAGGTGGAGGAGGAGGAATAGGTGGAGGAGGACGGGGAGAGGGAGGGGGAGGAGGAGGAGGAGGAGGAGGAGGAGGAGGAGGACGGGAAAAGGGAGGAGGAGGAGGACGACGTCGACGACGAAGCGCAGGAGTGGGGGGAGAAATGAGAGTGGCGAGGGGAGCGCCAGGAGCCACGTTTGATTTACATTGCACAAGTTCGGTAGTAAGTCTCGTGTCCCCCCTCATCTGGAATCCAGTTCCGTTTTTCTGACTTCGAGATCCCCTTGTGTTGGACTCGGCTGAGACTTTCGGACTGGATTGGCCCGCGCCGCTTGCCGACGGCTGGAGATCTGGCCTCTGAGCTCAGCAGTCGCATGCCGGATGTGATCTCCAATGATCTCCGGGTAGCGTTGGTTGTGGGGCCAGTGGCCCCAGTCAATCTAATTCGGAAAGGGGCACTCCAGAACGGGTGTCGGCTTCGACACGCCTCGCCTTCCGCGGAAGACCGGCGGCAGCAAAGCGGCCGCGGGGCCGCCAGCGGGGAAGGCCGGCAGGAGCTCGGCGGAAGGCAGCGGGAGCAGAAGTGCGCCGCCAGCGCGTTGGGATGCGGTCGGGGTCTTCCAGCGCCAGCGGGAGAGAGATGCACCCCATGCACACTCCGCGCCTCGAGCCGTGCTCCCCCGGCGAGGCGCCGTGCGAGGACGCCGCGGGCGTCCAGGCTCAGCTGAGGTTGGCGGCGCGCCAAAGGGGGTAGGGGGAGGGGGGAAGGCTTCTTAGAAGCACCCTGCTTCTTAGAAGGCCTCGGCCTTACGTCCATAGAGAAGGCCCGCGCCTTCTAAGAAGCAGGGGTGCTTCTAAGAAGCCTTCCCCCCTCCCCCTACCCCCCTCTGCGCGCCGCCAATGAGGGAGGCCCTGGACGAGCTGGCGGAGGGGAGCACGGAGCTCCTGGTGACGCAGCGCAAGTACGAGGCCGCCCTGGGGCGGCTGCCGCAGCTGCAGGAGCGGCAGGAGGCCGCGGAGCTGCGCGAGGAGGCCGCCGCGGGGGAACTGCGGCGGTGGCGCGGGGAGCTGGACGAGGCTCGTGTGCGTGCCCGAGCTCTGCTTTTCTTCCCCCCGCCTATCGGCATCTCGCCTCGGGTGCTGCACCGGAGCGACGGTTGAGGGAAACAATGAAGCAACATTCCCCCCCTCCCCCGCAGTTCAGAGTTGACAGGTTTTCGCAAGACCGCTCGGAGGCCTCAAATCGGAAGATCCGAAACCAACATTCCATTTGAGGGGAGGGGGGGGAGGTTCAAGCCATATGTTCTGCATGAGTGTTGCTTAATTGTTTCCGACACCTGGAGGACCCTGGCCCTTTGGGTAAAAAGGCTTCGCCTCGTCATCGGTATCCTACGGAGCCCAGGGCGGCATCGGCCCTCAGACCTCGGGGGTCCCCTGCAGCAAAGCGCCCGTGAGTGAAAGCTGCCAGGCGCAATTCCACCTGCGCACAGCGCCGTTTTCCGAGTGCACCCCACCGGGGCAGCTTATCGACGTCCAAGACAAACGAGTGTATTCGGCGAGACGCACGTCGATTAGCGAAACCAGCCAGGGACTTCACCGGCACACTCCAATGCCGACGTCAAGTTTTTTGGTGGTGACTTTCTCAATGGACTTGTTTGGGAGAGCGTTTCCTCCATGCCCGATGACTTCCTCATCCTCCTCGTCCTTCTCCTCCTCTTCCTCTTCCTCCTCGTCCTCCTCCTCCTCCTCCTCTTTCTCCTCCTCCTCTCCCTCCTCCTCTCCCTCCACCTCCTCCTCCTCCTCCTCCTCCTCCTCCTCCTCCTGCTCCTCCTCCTCCTCCTCCTCCTCCTCCTCCTCCTCCTCCTCCTCCTCCTCCTCCTCCTCCTCCTCCTCCTTTCCTTTTCCTCATGAGTAGTTTCTCCCTGCCGCACCCCGAGGCCAGTTTTAGGGCGGTCCAGGCGTTTCGCTTTAGACTTTCTCATCATTCATGAGCCTGAAGCTTAAAAGTTGACGACAGCTTCACAAATGGAGGGTGGGTGGTTTTCAAAATTTAGCTTTCGCCTTAGCGCCGCAAGAGCTACATGAATTGAGGGCGGGTGGCTTTCAAAATGTGGTTATCGCCCTAGCGCCGCGCACACTCGTTTGAACAATTTGCGAGAGCTTCGCGGATTGAGGGTGGGCGGTTTTCAAAATGTGGCTCTAGCCTTAGCGCCGCGCATATTCGCGTTAAGAATTTGCAAGAGCTTCACGGATTGATGGTGGGCGGTTTTCAAAATGTGGCTCTCGCTTTTGCGCCGCAAGAACTTCACGGAGTCCCATTATCAGCGTACCAGAAATTGTGTCCTGGAAGGGTTGTGGATTATGAGGGCGCAACAGTTACTTGGATTTGCAGTGTTGGAACCCCAAGAATGGTGATCTGGCAGCGTTCAGGATCGTCAAGGCCAACAGTCAGGTGGATCCGTGGCGTTGGAATCCCGAGAACGATGTTTCGGCATGCATCAGGGTCTTCAAACGGTTGTCTTCCAACGAAGCAGTTCTCTCATTGGAAATGAACGTGTGTGTGTGTGTAGGGGCCTATGAAGAGGGAGCTTGGAGGGAGGGTTTATTCCAACATCGTTGGTAACTCTTGGGTTTACACTGGTCCTCTTCCTCTTCCTGCCCCTCCTCCTCCTCCTTCCCCTCCTCCTCCTCGTCCTCCTCCGCCTCCTCTTCTTCCCTTTCCTTCCATCCCTTTCCCTTATGAGTAACTCCGCTCTCTCGCACCCTGAGACGCGTCGGCGCGGCGGGCCAGGCGTTTCGCCCGAGATTTTTTCACCACTCAGGATCCTGAAGCTCGAACTTTTCAACAGCTTCTCAGATATAGGGCGGGCCGTTCTCAAAATGTGTCTCCCGCTTCAGCGCCGCGCACATTCGTCTTAAAAGTTTGCAATAGCTCTCACATTATTGAATCGCTTCGCTCATTCCGCCGGCCCGTGATATGGCATCGCTGGTTTTTGTCTGTGTGTTCGTTGCCCATGTTGCGCTCTTGGGGGCGGGTGTCGTTCGGACGCGTTGCGTGGGGAGTTTTGATGGTGAAGCAGTTCCCTGGGGGTCGTCTCTCGATGGGGCGAAATAGAGTCGTCGTCAAGATGCTTCTTTGGGGGGCCTCTTGGGGTCTGTTGAGAGGCCGTTCGGGGGCGCCTGGGAGACATGTTTGAAGCCTTCTGGGGCTTCTTTTGGGCCTCCTGGGAGTCTCCTGGGGCCTCTTGGCGACATCTTGGGGCCTCTTGGAGGCCTCTTGGGGCCTCTTTGGGACCTCCTGGGCGCCTTCTGGGACGGAGGGCTCCATTTTTGAGTTCTCGGTATCCCTCCTGAGTCCCTCTTGGGCCCGTCTTGGGGCCTCTTGGTCCGTCTTGGGCGGCACTTGGGCCGTCTTGAGAGCTCTCTTGGGTCGTTTCGGCGCCGTCTTGGGAGCTTCGTGGGCCGTCTTGGAGCGGTCTTGGGGGCCTCTTGGGCCGTCTTGGAGCGTCCGGAAGCCGAAAAAGCCAGAACACAAAAAACATCGAAAAAACAATGAAAATCAACGATTTTGGCCTCTTGGGGCTCTCTTCGGAGGCCTCTTGGAAGGCTCTTGGGGCGTCTTGGAGGCCTCTTGGGCTGTCTTGGGGGCCTTTTGGGCCGTCTTGGGGTCATCTTCGGCGTCTTCGAGCGCTCTTTGGGCGTCTCGGGGGCCTCTTGGGCAGTCTTGGGGGCCTCTTGGGGCACTCTGAGCGCGCTCTGGGGAGCCTGAGAGGCCGCACCCAGAAGAAAACCATCTCTGAGTAGACTTGGTCGGGCGGCGGTCGGGCGGCGACCGGGCGTTGGTCGGGGTACTTTTCGCCGGGGGACCCCAGGGGCCGCCCCGCGCGCGCGAACTAGAAATACTGTTAATACTGTTAACCAGTTACCGGAGATCTTAGCACGCCCTGGCCCGTTGGGCCGGCGAATTTTCAAAGTTTGCAAGCTTTTCATGGATGGAGAGCGGCTGGGTTTGATAATGTCGCTCTCGCATTAGCACTGCGCACATTCGTTCTATAAGCTTGCAAAAGGCTTCACGGACGGAGGGCGGTACTCTGTTGTTCAAAATGTCGCCATCGCATAAGCAGCGCGCACCTTCGTTTGAAGGGTCTTCAACAGTTTTAAGGGTGCTTATGGGTGGCGTCCCGGAAACGGCGTTTTCGCACGATGTAGGACTGTCAGGGCACAGCAGTTACATGCAGATACATTGATTCGCAATGTTGAAGTCCCAAAAATAGTGTTTCTGGCGCGGTTCGGGATCGTCATGATGCAGAGGTCACGTCGGCTCGTCGCGTAGGCGTCCCAAGGATGCTGCTTGGCATGGTATAGGATGTTCAAACGGTTGTCGCCCAACGGGGCACATCCGTCAGTGAAAATGAGTCTTTGCATGGGATGTATGAGACTTTGGAGAAGAGGTTACTTGCAGCATCGTTGGTGGGCATTGGGTTTAAAGTGGCCCTCCTCCTCCTCCTCGTCCTCCACCCCTGTTCCTTGTATGAATAATTCCTCCCTTCGGCACGCCCAGACGTATCGGTGGTAAAGTGGGCCAGGCGTTTCGCTTGAGATTTCTTCACCATGGATGATCCTGAAGCTTGGAGCTTGCCGCAGCTTCACGGATGGAGGGCGGGCCGGTTTCAAAACGTGGCACTCGTCTTATCGCCGCGCACGCTTGTTTTTTAAGTTAATGCCAGCTTCAAGGATGGAGGGCTGCTGGTTTACAACATGTGGCCGTCGCCTTTGCGCCGCGCACATTCGTTTCAACAGTTTGCAAGCGCTTCAAGGATTAAGGGGTTGTTTCCCTTTTTTCAAACTGTGGGCTTCTCCTCCGTGCCGCGCGCATTCGGGTTAAAAGCTTGCGGTTGGTTCAAGGATTCGTATGGTTAAAGTCCTAAGATTGGTGTTTGGGCACGGTTAGGGGATTGTCAGGACGTGACAGGCGCATTGATTCGCGGTGGAATCCCAGGAACGGTGTTTTGGCACGATTTCGGATGGCTAGGACGAAACACGCAAGTCCCCCCCTCCCCTCCCGCCCCCTCCTCATCCTCCTCCTGCTCCCCCTCCTTGTCCTCCCTCCCCGTCCCCTCCCCCCCACCACCCCCCCACCAACCACACCTCCTTATGCTCCCCCCCCCCTTCTCCCGTGTCCCTCCTCCCCTCCCCTCCGGATCCTCCTCTTGTGTCCCCCCTCCCCTCCCCTCCCCCCCGCTCCACAATCCTCTTGGAGGGAGGAGGAGGGGGAGGAAGGAGGAGGAGACGGAGTAGGAGGACGGGGGAGGGGTGAGGGGAGTCTAGGAGGATTAGGGAGGAGAGGGAGGAGGTGATGAGGAGGAGGAGAGAAGGGAGAGGAAGGAGGAGGAGGAGGAGTAGGAGGCGGAAGGAGGAGGAGAAGGGATGAAGGAGGACGTGGGGAGGGGGTGAGGAGGAGGGAGGGGATGAGGAGAGGGGGAGGAGGAGGAGGAGCTAGGAGGAGGAGGGAGGAAGGAGGAGAGGGGAGTGAATGGAGGAGGAGGAGGAGGAGGGGGAGGCGGAGGAGGAGGAGGAGGAGGAGGAGGAGGACGGGGAGGGGGGTGGGAGGGGAGGAGGAGGAGGGAAGGATGACGAAGGAGGAGGATTGAGGAGTAGGAGGAGGGGGAAGGAGGAGGCGTGAGGAGCGGAGAGGAGGAGGAGGGGGAGGAGGTAAGAGAGGAGGAGGAGGAGGAGGAGGGGCAGGAGGAGGAGGAGGAGGGGGAGGGGGAGGGCCCACAGGCCGAGCGGGGGCGCCGCGACGCCGAGGGCGAGCTGCGGCGGTGGCGCGCGGAGCAGGGCCGCCGGGCCTCGGAGGAGCGCCTGGCGAGGGCCGAGGCCGAGGCTGCGCACGCGCGGGCGCTGGGGGACGCGGCGGAAGCGCGCGAGGAGCAGACGCGGAGGTGCCCGAGGGGACGACGACGACGAAATGACGACGACGACGACGACGACGACGACGACGACGACGACGACGACGACGACGACGGCGGCGACGACGAAACGACGACGAAACGACGACGACATCGACGACGGCGGCGGCGGCGGCCGCAGCGGCGGCTACGGCGACGGCGACGTTTGTCCGCGCGGGGGCGCGCGAGGGGCAGATGAGGAGGGGCTCGAGGAGCGGCGGCGCGCCCAGTAGGGGGAAGTCTGGGGGGGTGGGACGGGCCCTCCTCGCAGAAGGCTCGGAAGGCCTCCGGTCTTCTGAGAAGTGGTCTGGGCGTTCTCCGAAGACGCGGGTGGTGTTGTTCCAATTCCACTCAAGGACCACCTCCCAGGAATAATTTCGAGCACCCGGAAAAAAGTGCCAAGAGAGTGTCGAGACAGTGTCGAGACAGCGTCGGGCGAGCGTCTCCCAGGGCCCGATACGTGAAAGCCCTCGAGTTTCGGTACTTGTTTGGGCGCTCGGAGTTCTTTCTGGTGATCACGGCTAAAATAGGTTGGAGCATCATAAGACGAGGGCGGCTTCTCGGCAGGCGCGAGGACTTCTGAAAAGCCCCGCCGCCTTCCGAAGAGGCTTGCCCCCTCGCAACTTCCCCCCTGGGCTAGCCGCCGAGAAGAGGAAGGAACTGCTTTCGGAGCTCCGATGTGAGTTGATCGAGCGTTCTGTTCCCCTTAGGTATGCGGCGGCGCTTCGGGAGTTCAGGCGCTCGCAGGCCGAGATGGTGGAGGACGCAGGGTGAAAAGAGCAAGTCGGCATGCGGCGGTCGCAGAAAGAACAACAAGCAGACGAAGAAGAAGAAGAAGAAGAAGAAGACGAAGAAGACGAAGAAGAAGAAGAAATCGGGCGGGGCTAGGCCTGGGCTGATGAATCGTTGCAGGGCGTTCCAGGGGCGCTCTGGAGCGTCCCGGGGCACCCCGGCACGTCCGCGGCGCCCGGCACGGCCCCCAGAGCCGCCAGACGCCAGAGTAATCCACGCAGTCCCAGCCCGACGTTGTCCCAGGAGGAGCGGCACGAGCACAAAAGTGTGCGGGGGATCCCTCGAGTCTCGTCGGGTCGGCGCTGGGCCCCCCCTCGCTGGCGCGCGGGGCGTGCCGAGGGCGGCGCCAGAGGCAGGGCCGCCAGAGGGGCTCCAGCGCGGGTCCAAGAGGCCCGTGCGGCCCTCCGAATGTTGGCGTTGATGGTGGAGGAAGCAGCGGAGGTCCACGACCTCATGCTCAGAACCATCCCTACGGCGGGGGCGCGTCGGTCAAGGGACGTGCCCAGGAGGCTTCCGCCTCTGGGGGGATGTGCCTCACCGGGTACATCCATATGGCCAATCCACCACCCCAGACCCCCGACGTCGTGATTTTTTCATGACGTCGACCCCCAGAGGTCTGGACCCTTGCCCCGGGACCGGTTTTTCATCCTGAGTCGTTTGTTGACGCTCCCGTGGCCCGGTGAGGACCTCCAAGAGGGGGAAAACAGAGAAAAACCTTCCGTCGTGACTTTTTCACGACGCGAGGGGGGTCTGGGACCGTGGGCGGCCAGTCCACGACCGCCTTCGAGCGCTCGTGGACCGCCTCGCAGGCCCTCTTGGGCCGCCTCGGGGCCGCCCGGGGCCCTCGAGCCTCTGCCCGGGGGCTCCCTCCGAAGCCGTCGAGGAGCGCCGCGGGGGCCGCCCTCTGGAGCGCGCGGGGCCCCGCTCCAGAGGGCCATCCACACGGCCAGCCCACCGG